ATGTAAGAGAGACCATATTCACAATCTAGCTTGTACACTCCTGCATCTTGTAGAGAATATTAAATTAAAAGAAAACATAACATATAACTTAAATAGAGAATATGTTGCTGCCATCTGCTAGGGATCCTATAATTAACAAATATCCAAGCCCAAGTATATCACTGTAAGACTTGAAGATACTGTAAGTTCGTTCTGCGTAGATCGGACCAAAAATTAATATTCGAAAACTGAAGTTAGCCGGGCTAACTATGAGATTTGGATGTCAAATATCACATTCCTTCCCCCCCCTCCCTGACAATGGGCGCTGTAAAGCACCCGAAACCTAGGGAATTAAAAATAAATTAATTAAACGATAAAATCCGTATAAGGGGTTTTATTCAATTTATTTAATGTTTACGGTTTTTATTGTATTTTTTGCTTTAAATAGTTTTTTTTACTTTGACTTTTTAACTGTCTATATAATGTTTGTATCTTTATAATGTTTTATGTTGTTCAAGCAAACAACGAAACTGTTGTTTGATTATTTATATTTTTTTGGCAGAGCGTTTCCATTATACCTTGGGATACTGCAATATAACAGCTCGTGCTTGTCATTACTTAGTGGGTCTTAAGCCCCTAAGGCTTACGTGGAGCATTCTGCGGAGGACGTGCGGCGTAAAGTAATCAAAACACATATATAAAATCGTGTTTGTCACGCACGCAGGGTATTGAAACCAGCGCTATCAACTGCATTTAAGAACAAGGAGCTCCTAGTTTTAATACTAATAGCATAGTCACAGTGTCTCGGGTCATGTCGAGTGACGTACAAAGGAATGTATATTATTTGTATTTACTAGCAACCTGTCCCGGCTTTGGTTGGATGTATTAATGTATATCTATATAATATTGCCTAGATCACTCCTGGAATTCCTCCTTATTTATTGTTCGTCAAGTTTCATTACAGCATTCAGCCACTTCGAAGATTAGCTTGAACTGACAGGCAAACAAAAATTTTAAAAACTGTTATTCACGTCGAGCATGCAAATAATGGATTAACGGAAATCCCCTACACATCTGCGATTTTCTTAATATCGATAATTTTAAAATATTTTACAATATATTTTGATGATACTTTATGAAATGTAAAATTCCTTGTAAACATTTTGTTTAAATAATGATTAGGCGACGGCAGGAGAAGAATTCAGTGACTTAGTGGTTAAAATCGGAATATCAGTAAATTATTTCTTAAAACCCATTGCAACGTCCTGATCTGATTTAGTTGATTTGTTGTTAAAACTTGACTGGTAGTTTGAATTGCGAAAGTTGACCTTATCAGTTTCTCTATTAATTATACTTATCTGTGACGTATACTATTTAAATTTCCAATGACAAAATTTATAACCAGTACAAGATTAGAATTTGATTGAATGAATGAATGAATGCAAGAATATATATTAGAAATATTTAAGGTCCAGAAAAATAATTTAATGGTGGTTTTCTTTTAAATAAAACAAGGGTAACAAACGAATACATAGTCCACCTGATCATAAGTACCTACTTACATGACCTAAAAACATTTTCATGCGAGATTTTATAATAAGAAGGCCAAAGATTCGTCGTCACCCCTGAGGACTATGAAAGAATGTTCAGTCTGTAATTATACTAACTCTTTATACCTTTCACTGCAGAACTGCACTGCTATTTGGCGAACAGAAACAGGTGAGAGGGTGTTTCCTATCCAGACAGACTTCTAGGCAGTAAAAGAATGCTACCAGTTGTTTTAATTGGTCCATGTGAAATGTATGTAAAACGCCAAGCTGCTTCTTTGTTGCTATGGCAACAAAAATGCTCGGTCTTTCTCCTGCGTGGAAACTTTTACATCTGTAGATCAGTGTAATACAAATTGGACATATGAAATCAAGAAAATCGTTTGTGCGTAGGCGTGCTTTCAGACAAAACATATTAAATATTATAATAGTTCAGTGATTCATGTTTGCAGAGTTTTTCCGCCACGTATTAGAGTCGCCATGTTGGATAAACAAAATATAAGACATTGTTTTAAATATACATATATTTTCATTTTACACTATTTTCATATGATATTGAAGTCAATTTCTTTAAGTGTAGATGGAGAGTAATCCAGATATTATTTCCGACGGAAGTAACGTTTAATAAAATCTATAGTCCGTTTACGAAATATTCGCATTTGTAGTCAGTTGCTACCTATAGTACCTAGTAGTATTTATGATATCATCAACATAGACATTTTCATAAAACTTTAATTAATTTTTTATATATATTAACAATATTACATTGTGTTTCAAATAATTTTTAAATCGATCTAAATATGTAGTTCATATGTGGTAGAGCCACGCTGCAGTTAGCCACGCTATATTAAGTTTGTAGCACGAATGGGTCGGCTCGACCGGGGAAGGACTATGCTCTCACAGAATACCAGCGTAAAATAGCAGCTTAACGCTGCTGTACTTTGTATGGTGAGTGTAGAGATCGGGAGACCCTTTTTTACTGGAAACGAGACATTCCATCTTAATCCTTAGGGGTAACAACGCACCTGCGTTTTGATTCTTAATCGAGGATAAATGTAGATGTCTATGGGCCACAGGATACTTACCACTTACCATCAGGTGAACTGTGAGCTTGCCTATCATCCTTATTATATATATTAAAAATAATTTAGGTCATTAAATACCTAGTGGATTAGTTGGTGTTATATTCCTTTAATTAGACAGTTGTGCTTGTAAAAAATCTCCTTCACTATCAGCTCGCAATATAACTCACTGTTGGGCTCACTGTTGAACATTAAACTTCTCCTCTTGGTAGGACTTGCCTTGACTGCCACTCTTGGCAGATGGATTTGAGACAGATGTATCAGATGTCTCAAAAATTTGAATCTGTCTTTAGGAGGTAATTATACCGCCATCTGTCAGAACCCAATAGCTAGAAGAATTTGTCATTTTGCCAATCTTTTAGCCAATGAATAAGCACTTAAGTAAATGGAAAATATTGAGTTGAGTGATGATGACAATCTCAGTTTCAGACGTCTCACACTCGTAATTCTGCACTGTTCTTCAGAGTTGTGATATCCATGTAATACCAAGTCGGTTAATTTATCCAGTCCCTACTTAGGGGCCTTCTGTTTTAAGTTATTACGTAATTAGCTAACCTAACAACATTTTATAGTGACCATATCAATGTTAAAAATCTTGTATGTTTGAAACACAGCAGCATTAAGCTGCTATTTTACGCTGGTATTCTGTGAGAGCGTGGTCCTTCCCCGGTCGAGCCGACCGAGCCGAGTCGTGTCTTACCTATATTGAAGAACACCTCCCGCCCTCCCTCAATTGCGTGCACTACTCCCGTCACCAGTAATCCCAGCACCACTACTCCCAACAACACTATTCCAGGAAAGACATACCATCGACGATAATACGACACGTGTTTCGCGATCTTAGCGGTCAGCCGCCGTAGAGTCTACATCACCTAAAGATGCCTCGTGTAGAGGCGTATTAAATTATGCGTATTTAGTGTGAACTCAACACCAGTTAAAGGTTATTAACGAAAGTCGATCAGATTATCTGTTTTTTTTTTTCTTGTAAAAATTATCTTCACTATTTTCTACGTTAATGCATAAATTATTATATGTCGCTCACTTTGAAATATTGTCAATAGTATTATTAATATTAGATTCATAGATGTGACTCAATGTCTTTTTAAGATGTCACAATAACTGAAATATCATCAGCAAATAAAATACATTTGTATAAAGTTGAGTCAGGTAAGTCATTTTAATATAAAAGGAAAAGAATTGGCCCTAATACGGAACTTTGTGGAACTCCAAATGAATTTAATCTATCACTGGATTTATAAGAAGTTAATGTCTATGAATTATCTATATTTGTTACTTCTACAAATTGTATCTTATTTCTTAGATAGCTAGCAATCCAATCTAGGACAGGGCCTCGAAACCCCAAATTATCAAGTTTTTTGTAAGAGTATTTTGTGGGATACAAAGTCAAAGGCCTTCGACATATCAAAAAAGATTGCTGTAACTTTTAGCTTATTATTTATAGCCCTAACAATTGCATCAACAAGATCATATCCAACAAGGCTTGTAGATTTATTATTTTGAAAGCCATATTGCTCACTTTTAATTAAATTATATTTCATCGTAAAGTCTACAATACGCTTAGCCATTGCCTTTTCAAATATTTTAGATAAAACTGAGACTATACTAATCGGTCTATAATTATTTAAATTTTTAGAGTCGCCCTTTTTATGTATCGGCTTAACAACTGACTTTTTTAAGATACTAGGAAAAGTAGTTTTTTTTAAATGACAGGTTTATTAGGTAAGTTAATACTCTTCTTAAAACCTAGTCGCCAAAACTTTCGTTTATGGCCATAACGTTGTCTTGGAAACTTTTCTTTTATCACATACTTTATCACCCTATCTTTTAGTACTCGTATATCTCTAAAATTTTTGATAAGACGTATTTTTGATATTCTATTGTATACTTTGCATACTGTAGAACAATGTCACAATTATTGATGAACCTTGTTAATGTACAGGGGGTGCTCACAAACTGTGAAGTTAACTTGAGGGCTTTGCGTCTGAGCTACACGGCTCTGGAAGATTGAAGTAATATGTAACTAAGTATATAAGTAATAAATATTATAACGAATAGTAAATAAATATTATAAAGAGGCGACAAAGGGAAACAAACCAAAATAAAAAGCTGTGGTTGCCAGTTATGGCATATATTCTACTGTCTTAGAATTAATTACTACCTATATATTACTGTGTTAGAATTAAGCATGAGTGTAACATTTGTTGTTGAACCAAATAAATCCCACCTATGAGGCAACTATGGGGACGGCCTAAGTTAAGCAGTGGAATGATAGGCTGTTACGATGTTAATGATAATGTATGTAAATGCAAATGACCAGTACATCTTCAGTTCTCGTATATACGGTGGTGTGATGACATAACGCCTTGTGCAGGGCAGCTGTTGCTGGGCAGACGGCAGCGGGCGATGCGTGCGCTTGACAGACACCTCGCTCCTGACCCTCAGCGAGGTGGAGCGTCGCGCTCTGCAGCAAGCGGCATTGGCTCGCCTGCAGCAGATCAATCTTGGAACCACTATCAAGATACCTGAAGGTATGTGTTAGCAATTAGATACACAGATTATTTATAAGAAATAGTGTCATGGTCACGAGTGAGGAGCGGCGATACGAGTATGCTCCTGTTTGGCCGGCCCGCGCGCAATTTTATTGCACGATATTTATTTGATATTTATTTTCAAAATGAAATATACTCTTGATTAAAACTACTTTTACGGATTTTATCGCATCTCAGTCCCCCGTGACCATGGGTGCTGGAAAGCGCCCGAAACGTCGGGAATTAAAAATAATAGTAAAATAAACGCGATAAAATCCGTAAAAGTAGTTTTAATCAATGTGTAGTGTTCGCGTAAATATAAGAAATCATTATGAAATATACTCTTTTACTAGCTCGCCAGGCAGACGTTGTTCTGCCCTTTTCAACGACTTTTTTGTCATGTCCTATTAAAAAATCCTTTAATTTGCAAAAAAATTGTGGGTCACTCATGGGCGAAAAAACTATCCTATCTCGCAAGTTGGACCAAACTGCACACGGTGTGCAAATTTGATTAAAATCGGTTAACTAGCTTAGCAGTTTATCGCGGACAATCAACGTGACACGTAATTTATATGTATTAAGATTCGAAAATAATTCCCAGTGAAAGTGACCAAGACAGAATTTAATTGAAATTGCTTTAATTACATTCGAATGAAACTGCTTTTTCCCTGAACCTACCTAAATTGTAGATTTTGAGGATCTTTTTGTATCAAGCCAAAATGTGTCAATCGTGTTTTCGCCATCATAATTCACTAAGGAAAGTCTTTAACTTTCGTGATAGTTTCTTAGTTTTTAATTAGCATTTATTAAGCGAGAATAATCTGCTTTTGGCGTCCATTTCACCTTAACGTCCTTAACCTTAAGTCCACTCAAAAAGTTATAAATTAAACTTTCAATGAAAAGTAAAAAGATTCAAAAACTAAAAGAATAAAATAATTTCCACATAATAGCTTCAAGACGCCTTTACTTTAATTCTTTGATGCACTATATCTTAGCTTTGTTTATTTTAGTGATGGTCTTAACAACCTATTTATAGTATTTTTATCGATGATCTGCTACTAAGACTACTCCATGTTCCAACTTGTCATACTAATTATAGAAATAATAGTTTTATACCTAGAGATTTGAGGTTATTTACCAAGTATTCTGAAAACAACGATTTAGACTTAGTCTGTGATAGTAATACGAACATTAAAACTACTCAAGTACTACTCATGTCTGAGTAAAGATTTGTTGTGAATGTATTATCCTATATATGGAGGCTTTTTATTGGCATATAAGTAATATAGTGATATAGATTGTAAATGTAGCTGTAAGCTCCCCAAATAAAATAAAATCATTTTCTGTCACACTCGAAGTCAGACACTTCAATCCTGTCCTGCACAGATGGCTCGAGTCCGTTGAGACTGGCGTGACGTGGTTATTGTAGTGGACAAAATGAGCTTCTTTAGACTTTTTTTCTATATATTTTACAAGTTTAAGTTGCAACTGTTGGGAAAGAAAATAATTGTAAGCTGCATTTTCTCACAAGGACTTATTGAGGCAATGGCGTAATTTTCTTGACATTCAAAAAGCGAAGTCTAATTTTGTACAAAAATATTTTATCTTTATTTCACTTTGACTTTGAGATGTCTCACTTTTTAACATTGCTCTCCTACACATTTCTTGGTTAGGTTAGGTTAGTGGGAATAAGACATCAGTTGTGAAATTGTTGTGTACATGAAACGTAACAGCAATTACTCAGGAAATCGTTAAAATATGAATTTCGGCCAATGACTGCAAAACTATGGCAAATTAAATTTAATGTGACAAGCCACTTCGTTCATGAGGAACTTCGAAATTACCTCGCGTAAATGCATACTTACGGCATAATAATAGCATAAACACTCACGCCTGTCACCCAGAGGGGTAGGCAGAGACCACGGACTTCCATTTGACACGATCCTGACATACCTCTTTCGCCTCCTTTACATCCATATATCTACGCATACATGCTCGTCGGTTAAGGGTACTTTTAACGTGGCCCATTTTCAAAATATCGCCAATTTGGTCGATAAACTTTTTTCTAGGGCGTCCCTTCCCGACTCTGCCGTTCACATCTGCCATATAAATTTGTTTTGTCACTCTTTCCTCATTAATTCTTTCTACATGACCAAACCACCGAAGCATTCCTTTCTTAATCCTGGTCACAACATCATCTTGCATACCACATTTATCTCTTATCATGCAATTTCTCATCCTGTCATTCAGATTCAACCCTAGCATACTCCTTAAAGACCGCATTTCTACAACATTTATTCTACTTTCGTGCTTCTTCTGCCACACCCAGCTTTCACTACCATACATTAAAGTAGGGACTAACACAGCATTATGAATTACCATACGTGCCTTTTTTGATACATTCTGGTTCTTCACAAAAGAGTGTAGTGCCCCATTCACTCTACTCCCTGCATTTACTCGTCGTTCTATATCCTTATCATATCTACCATCCCTGCTGAATACACATCCCAAATACACTAACTCATCCACTTGCTCAATTAACTCTCCTTCTATTCTTATTTCACATACCGTTTTGCTTTCCTCTCTTTCAAAAACCATCACTTTCGTCTTACTTGCGTTCACTTTCATTCCCCTTTCTTTTAATGCCCAGTTCATTAATGTAACCATCATTTGCAACTCAGCTGCCGATGACGCAAATATGACTTGATCATCGGTATACAAAAGGCATTTGACGGTTAACTCGCCCATTCTTAACCCACAATCTTCATCTTTCAAAGTTTGCAAACACCTGTCCATAAATAGGTTGAACAGCCAAGGGGAAGCCACACAGCCCTGTCTAACACCCTTTCGGATGCCAAACCAGTCTGAGTAGACCCCATTGATCCTGATACAAGCACTAGAATCCCTATAAAGAGACCTCAAAGCCTGTATCAAACCAGCGCTCAACCCATATGAGTTCAGTTTTTACCATAACACATTCCTGTCCACTCTGTCATACTTACGGCTAAAGTTAAATTAGTAAATTGGTTTAACGTTAATAATTTGCATTTAAATGGCACTAAAATTAAATGTATGAAATTCATAACTCCAAATGTCAAACACCTAAATACTATTGTTGATAAGCTTTTCCTGGGCAAACTCTCTCCATAGTATGCCTCACCTCATCTTTGCCCTCGGACCAGATCGAGGTCAACAGTGAGCCTTAGGAGTGAGCCATTTTTCATTAAAAAATACGTGTGGCACTCGGTCACTGCCGCGGTAAAGCTATTGCATAGCATTTTTATCAACTTATGCAATTATAATTATTTATTTATTTTATTTATGCAGTTAAGTCTTTGATATTAAATGAAATTACACTTTTTGAGCGTGGTGACCGATAAGAAAACAATTTTTTTTTCTCTTATTGAATAAATGAGAAGTTAATATTGTTTAAAATAATTTTAATATCTTACAATACATGTAGGTTATTCAGGAATTTTTATCATTGAGTTAGCAGCTAGTGTACACGCATACGTCTAGTCGCACGCACACAAACACCGTGCCGAAGTCTGCCGAGTGCCGAAGTCTGCCGAACTGAAACGACGTTAGACGATGCACGGCTTTCAACGCCACACCTCCGTGCCCGTCGGAGTGGGGAGCGTGAGGTTTTTTTTCGTTACGGAATTTCTGGATTCGGTCCCCGCGCTCAAGGCCCGCGATAGAAGTTATGCAATAGCTTAAAAATAATTTTAATTGGGGAGGAGCTGAGTCTTGTCAATACTACCATTTTTTTGGAATCACTATAGACCCGAAGTTTCAATGGGGTGCCCATATATAAAGTACCAAGCAGACTTCGTATGCTGTAAAAAAGATAAAATCTCAGGAACGTTAAAACAGCTAGAGCGCTAGCTAGTTTATTTCGTCTAAATCCATAGCATAATGTCGTATGATATTTTACTATGGGGATACGCGACAAACACTGTAATCACATTTGTTTTACAGAAGAGTTCCTTATGAAACAATCTATGATTTAAAACCTAAAGAGTTTTCAAGACAAAAATGTAAGGAAATTGATATATTAACTTGGGCCTCCCAATACATTTAGAAAAATGTAGTATGTACATTAAATATATTACAAAATCTGTCCACTATTGAACGAATATTGTATTAAAATTGTTATTATAATATTTAGAAATATATGGATGATAATAAATCCCATGAATGAGGTAGTCGCTATCAAGCTATTTCAAATGTGTTTTGTGTTGCTAATTGTGTGGTTTTCTTGCTCGTTCCTAGGGTAGAGGTATTTCCCGAACCAGTTTTAAATTAAGTATTAGAATGACATTAAATATGTTATTTATAAGTAGTACCCGGTTGACCGAGCTTTGCTCGGTATTTTTCGCTCGGTTTTTTTTTAATTCGTGTGTTTTGGAAGTTATATTTAGATACAAATTACATACTGATGAAATATAAATAATATTTTTTGATCGTAGCGATATAATAGAAAAAAACTGAACTGGTTATTTGAATAAAAATTCATGAATGCAATTAGTTTAATTTAAATTTTCGTGTTTTTAAAAAATTCTAAAAAAAAGGGCTCGAAAAAAATAGATTTTCTCAAAAAAAGAAAGGAACTTGAAAAACAAATTAAAAAAATTCGGTCGGTCGGTCTGGTCTCGAACCATGGTATTACGATTTTGTGACCGCCCGATATACCAATTAAGCTATTTGTAATCATTAATAAACTGTCAAAATTTACCTTCTTATTCTAACGATATTGTAGCAGTTTTTCATTGCTTAAAAACACGGACAAAAAGACATTTTCTAAAAATAAATCCTAGCTAGATCGATTTATTGCCCACGAAACTCCCTGCACACAAAATTTTATGAAAATCGTTGGAAACGTTTCCGAGATTCCGATTATATATATATATATATATATATATATATATATATATATATATATATATATATATATATATAATCGGAATCTCTATATTTTAAAACGATATTCTTTATTTATCCAGCGAGG